ACTGTATAGGTTGATCGCTGCCTTCATCATCGAACATCCTTTTCTTTTTGGCTACCCTTTCGTTTTTAAAGTCTTTTGGCAGTTCATAACTGCTATTCTCAATAAATTGACGAGCGTCAGACAAGCATTTTTCGAATCCAGTTTGTCGATATTCTTTGATCCAGTCACAAAATGTACGCAAATGTTCAATAGCATTGCTTAAATGGACTTGTAAAGATTGCCATAATTTGTTTATGATATTAACACGCGATAATATCTCATACCATACATGTAATGATAGGATAAATTCTAAACCGAGCATTTCGTTTAAAACCGAAACGGAACAATCAGACAATGAAAGCTTAAAAAATCAAAAGGAAAAGCTTCGAAAGCTTAAAAAATCAAACGGAACAATCAGACAATGTGTCTGATTGTTCCGTTTGATTTTTTAAGCTTTCGATGCATTCAACATCAAATTGCAATAATACGGCCTTCACTACCTCGATTCTGCTTTCTCACCTTGTGTCTGATAAAGTCTTCGTAGTAAGCTTTAATTTGCCTTTGATTAATTCCCAGCGTTTGCTGGAACTTGAAAATAGCAAATAAATTTTCTGAATAAAACCAAAAAATGTTTTTCTGCCACAGAAGAATTAGCTGTGTCTACCAACAGCAAATTCTAGCTATGAAAACCGCAAAGTGTAAAAAATGCCATGGGATTAATATTTAATATTCGAGTTTTAACTCCACTATTTACGAGATACTTTACTGCGATACTTTGATTGGCTTTCTAGCCGTTGAGAATCGTGAAAGTAACGTAAACAAACACAATGGGAAATCCCCAGCTCTGGCTGGCAATGATTCCCCGTGATAGCAACCCAACGCCAGCAAATGTTGCTAGACAAATAAAAACAAATTTGGTATGTCAATATATCTATCGTTTTATGACGAGTAACATTTTTTCGTTGAGTTTACGGCTTTTATGTAATGCATAAACCTTCGAAGCGCGAGGCCCCTCGGACAGCGAGGCCTAGGCGGTGGCCCACGTCGCCCACGCCTTACGCCGCCTCTGTGTTTGAATCACTTCTTTGTATATAATACATGTAAGGTGATTGAAGTAAAACCTGGCCATCGTATAAATCTGGCCTAAAGTTGGCATGCTTTTTACAATGATATGCTGGTATAAGTTTATGCATTCTACAAACTTTCTATTAATTCCCTGCATTTAGCACTTCATTTAACGGGTGTCAGTAAATTTCATGCAAACATTTTTCTCTAAGTCTGACAAACCATCCATAAAGACTACGATTTTGCTAAAAGAGAAGCCATTTTCATTAAGCCGAAAAACAAACAGAAAAGCCCCAAGTATGAGGTAAGGACTATATCATTGGTAATTTAAGTTATTAATGCTTTAGGAACCAGAATGAACATTATTTAACTCTTAAAATATCTATGAGAATTAAGTTTTTAGTTGATTGGGTGGATTCAGATTCACCTGTGCTGGCTTGGTTTAACAGTGTATAAAATCATGAAAACTGCACCGAAAAGACAGGAAATTTCAAAAGTATTTCGTATTCAAGGACAGTTTGTAATAACTTAACTTCAAAAATAAATAAATAAATAAAATACTTACGGAACAAGTCAGACTGAGATTTAATTGTAATTTACCAATTTAATTTGTACAGTATTTGAACAGTTGCTGGAATAAGTTAATCCAAGATATTAATTCCAATCTTTCACCAATTTATTTTCTTTCAGATTAAATGCAAGTTACTTTGCACAAACAATGCTCTTGTTTTCTCGAATATAAAATGAGCTTAAGTGATTATAAATTGCTTTAATTACTAAACTGTTTAGTTAATTAGTTCTTTTTGCTATAAGTTTAAATAAGTTTAAACCTGACCGAACTGATTTCATATAGGCCTATTATTTTCTGTATATTAAGAAATCGAACGTTTTCGGCCGAATTTACCCAACTCAGAATAAAAGTGGAAGCAGTGTATAACAGAATGCGCTTGCAGAACGCGTAGACGGTTTAAACTCATTTTATATTGATCGTCAAACACTTGGGTGGTTAAGTTTTACCTCAATTACCTTACTTGTTTATTAATTTTACAAATTAATATCCTTCATTTACTAAATACTTTTTACGTTTCTCTAATGAAAATGAAATTATTTTTTAATTTTTAAATTGATAAATATTAGTTAATCTTTTTCACTTAAAAATTATTTAATTAAATTATAGAATACGTTATTATAATAAATGATAAACTCTTATAACATCATCAATCTTCGACATATTGTATTTGATAATTAAACGTATTAAATGCACAGTACAGTACATTGTATTAAATGAATGCATGAAAGTTCTGTTTATAGAAATAAACTATGCTTATTTAACTGAATGTAATTGAAATTTATTATTATCTTGCAATTTCTCATGAGCAGAGATAGAGCTAATTCTTTTGGGGGAAAAATACAAAGTTCTGGAGCGAAAATTGTGATCACTGATCCCAGAAGCTTTTCGATAAAGGTTACTGTAAGAACTGCTGTTACTGTTATTTCTCGTATATCTATGTATAAATCCCGGCTTAAAATTCAATAGTTTTCCCCGCCAATTTTGGCGCAATGCTCACTCGTAACTCTGCCTATGCAACTTATTTTTCTTAGAGGTGAACATTTGTTTAGAATTTAACGTTTAGTGTGACGACATGGTTAACATTACGTACTACAAATTTCGAGGGAGGGGTTTTTGCTTGTCCAGATCAAAAAGCTAGTTAGAGGATAAAAGAATTAGAATCCTGAAGTATATATATGGTTATAATATACACGTTTTTTTCAGTAATGGGAACTGTTAAAAAAATTGGAAAAACTGAAATATTTGTTGTTTGAGAAAATTGTTTATTAAATTGTAGAAAATTTTGGAATAATTTATCTTGCAAAAGATGATAATTATAACGATAATAATTTTTTTTCTCTCCCAAAAATATAAATATATAAAGCTAAAAAATTAATAATCTGTATATTAATTTTATAAGCCTCAAATGCTGTCCAGCTTTGTTTGAGAGAAAGGCTGGGGATAAAAATATAGTTCTGGTATCAAAATAAAGCTCTTGACCTGTAGACGAGTCCATTGCAACCAGAAATGAAAATTCACAACCGTTCGGAGCGTGGTAGAGCGGCAAAGCTACAGTTTTAAGTCTACGGGACAAACGTAGGTGCTTACGTTTCAACTAGCTATTTAGTTTCTATTTTAACCGTTACAACAACCCATTACTGACCCCTATTCTAAATTCCTACTTTTTGGTAATTACGCGTGAATTAGCAAAAATTTGTTCATTATTTTTAATACACAAGTACACTATCTAAATATTTAAATAATAAAATAAAATTAAGCATCACTTTTATTTTGAACTAAACTGTTTTAATTTTTTAGAATCTACAATAAAAATTATGTATTAGTAAAATAAATGCATGTACAGTACTTTTCAACACTAATAAAGATAATAGAGGATTTTTAAATAAATTAGTTTTGTCAACATTGACTACAGCAGCAATTACTTTGTGCCGATTGATGGGTATCTCGACAAACCTAAGAAGAGTAAACCTGAAAATTGACTGTTAGTAGGTCTAAGAGTTTTATTCACAAAGCTCAGGACAAGGTGATTGCCACGAGATGAGCCGCCATTACTGTCATCTTTAATTGGGAGCCCGTCGTACAAATGTTAAATTGTCAACCTTTGACTCCTTTTGAAAAATTGAAAGAAACATAATGATCTGGAGAACAGGTTGACGCAAATCACTCGCAGACAGATCCGGAAAACACTTGCTGTACTAATGATTTTTGTATAGAACGCCAAATTTTAAATGAGCTCGTTGATTGTATTTTTACTGAATAAAGCCGTCGATTTCCACGGGTTCCTGCTGGTTAATAACAATTTTATCATAAAAAGGAAAATGAAAGAAAATTCATCAGTTACGATCTTGCTAGTTTCAGACAGGTATCAATTATATTTTATTTCTGGAAAATCTAGAAGTAAAATCAATTCCAGACAAACTTTCATGAGTTCAGAATATATATGCCAACTTTTAGAAAAGGCCATTATTTGATTATTTTGTATGCATTTCAAAAAGAATCGTTTCTGAAAAAAATGGCCATCGTTTAGATAGTCGTGATTAGAGATTCGATTGTATATACAGTCGACCCCCCTATAACACGGGTTCCTATAGTTCGGATTCCTATATGACGGCGAAAAAATTGCGACGGTATCAGTACAAACATGGTAAAAAAACAAACTCTTATAATTCGGTAAAACGTCATCGGGCAGCCGAACTACTTTTCGCCGTCCAGCGCCACGCTACGGAGAGTTTAGGCGAGTAAGTTGAGTTTACTATCGTCTGTATAATATGTAAATTAGGTACCGTAAGTCTAATACAGCACTAATTTTATACATTTCTTGTGAAAGAAACATTTCTTATTCAACGGCCATAAAAATTATTTATATTAATGATGTCTCCAAAGTTCAACGAAGTTTTCGCAGAAAAATAACTTATCAGAAAGCGCGGCCGCAGTTTGGTGCGCTGCTCCGCGACGAAAACAAGCTTAAGCAATGGCGATGTCCAACGGTGCACACTCGGTAAGTAATCCTACAATTTTTTGTTTATAGCATAGTTTATACGGATTATTCCCAAAAAATTATACGTGTTTTGGAAATTTTGAGTGGAATTATTCTAGGAATCGATTAATTTTATGGAAGAAAACCTTTCAAACAGCCGTAGTCCGTAAAGTGCATACGTGCCGGGCTGTGAATGGCAAGGACTCGTACAAAATGGATTCATAAAGAACGGAACGTATCTAACGTGTTATAGGGGGTCGACTGTATTTGAAATTTCAAGTAATTAATTTTAAATTAATATTCTAATTGTTTTAAAGATTAAGAAAAGTCTTATAAGAAAAGAAAACACTCTTTACACTTTTACTAATTTTTATTAAACTAGTCGTATTAACATATTTGATTTTACAGACACGGAGAGAGTTATTCTTGGACAAATGTTAATTGTTGCGTACATAATGTCATCGTGGGTCAACTCTGGTTCGAACAGGTGAGCGTTTAATACAGTCTTATCGATCTTCCTCCGCAAATTAGAAATCTCCAGTTCCATAGGACACTCGAATACAATTTCAAAATATGAATCCGGAGGGAACTGTAAAAAGTTAATTAAAAATTTGCAGAGGATTGATCGATTCTCCGGAATACATCATTCTGAGAAAAGTGCTTCTGTCTTTTATCGTCTCCTTTCAGTACGGAACCATGGAAATCATCGGTTATACAACCGGTCTGCGGGCCACCATTCACTTCAAATCTGCTGGAATTACAGGAAGGGACTTGCATCGCTTAGAAGGATTCGTTTCTGATTCTCAGTTCGTATGCTCATATTTGAATTATTGATATATAACTTATTCCTTTACTGATTAGTATTTTACATATATATTTTTAAGGAATACCAAACTACGATTTCTTTATGGCAAATGGACTGAGAATTTTAAATCGGCTAACATGAATGACTATGAAGAGTATAAGCGTGCAAATTGGCACAAATTTTCTATCGTCGATTCAAACGAAGCAAGTTCCAATACTGCACATGCCTCCAGTCCTGGTGGGAGTCCTTCGCAAACACCGAAAAAAGTAGTAGTATCAAAACTGAATATGTTGACTCGATCCTTTACAAGCGGATCCAATAAAGTTACTTCCGTAAATTTTTTTATTTCTATTTTTTATACTTGCATAATCAAATATAAGAAGCATCCTAATTTACTGTCTTCTTATAGGGATCTGATTCCGTAGATAACGGAGACGTGCCCAGAAATGATCCCAGTACTTCTATTGAAATTTCTAATTCTACAACATTGTGGGAAGTTGTGCCTCGACCTGAATATTCCTCTCAGGTTGGTTTTATTTATTACCGTATTTGTATTATAAAACAGTAAAGTTATTAAATTAATTTTATTGTAGTATTATCATTTCACTCTTTTCTCCATGGGTTTGAATCAACTGAGCGAAGAACTGGAAAAGACCTTGCCTCCAACTGACTGTCGCTTTCGCCCTGATATTCGAAAACTCGAGGAGGGTGATATAGGTAAGAGAAATTTATTTAAATTGAAACTAATATGTAGCGCAAATCAGGGTTAAATGGTGAATAAAAGTTCTGGAAGCTGCAAGTGTAAAATAAATTTTATTTTAAAAAACTGACTGAACTGTTGTTTTCTTATCTTACCAGACAACACAATAACGAGCAAAGTTCACCCTCTCATTCTTAGAGAGGTGGGTTAGATGGAGAACAGTATACGGATAACTCCTTTACCAGGGCCTACTCTGTTATTTTTGACCGATTACTGGTTGGATTCATTATTCAAACTTCAAAATAGTATATGCAAAAAACCGACGTCGTCCACTAATGTTATGATTTTCGAGGCTACAGTAAACACAAACGTGTAAAACATTTTGCAAGCCAGATATAAAAATATTCGATTTATTCATCTATTTTTACAGAAATTGCGCCTAAACAGCACGCAGTAAACATGGCTTTCAACTAACACAATATATCAATACGTAGCGCTATATTTTAGTATCTATTATCTACTGTATAAGCATACGATAATTACTTGTGTTCACCATCTCACCCTCATTTATTCTATCTGGTTTCTGGTTGATATAAAAAATATAATATTTATCAAAGTTTTAATTTTCATATAAAAGTTTAAATACCTTTTAAAGTTATAGGATATTTGTGAATAACGTTTGCAGCTGGAAACATCTAAACAAAACGAAAAGCTTTTCGTAGAATGTATTCAAAATTAATTTTGTAAAAAATAATAATAATTCTACGTTCAGCAGAATCATAACTTGTGTTACAAGAAAATTTGTAGTTGCAGAATTTCATAAATATTTTTTACACAATTATATGTAATTTGTTGCAAGCAAAACAAAAAAGCACTCTGCTAGGCTACTGTTATCGGCTAGTGACCGCATAATACGGAATTATTTTACAGCTGTAGTGGATTCAATTTGAATTCGATTTTTTTCTTAACCATACAAACTATTTACAATAGTTTGGAAGTTTGGAAATATTTCGTCTCTCATTCCTTGTCATTTGAATAAAATTGAAGTTGCTATATTGTCTATTTATGACAATATCTTGCGAATAACAGCCGAATGATTGAGGCAGTAAAGGAATTAGTTTTCATTCTAAGTAACCGGAAAGTCGTAAATTTCATTATTGATTTGATTCGGCTCTCACTGTTCGACATGGATGATTTGCTGTTGGACTTTGCCCCTCACTACTCCACCGTCCTTTCGGGAGCCTAGTTGAACTTATATAAACATTTAAAAAGCCTTCAGAAAGAAAGGCTGTAAAAATATAAATCTCATGAGTTAAAATTCTAATCCCTACACTCACAATTTTCATTTCTTTGCAATAAAATCTTTGTTATTTATCCAACATTCAGCTCAATTTATCACCCATATTCAAAATTATTATTTGACATGGTTTATTTTCTTCCATTTTTCATCATAACACACGAAAATAATTAAAAATCAGCAATATAATCCAATATGAATTAAGAACATTGCAGAAATTCAATTCAATTTGATCTAATTAATTAAAGTTATCGCGCGATAGTATGGTATTTAAAATAAGTATTTAAAGATTGTTGTTGCCGTTTCATGTTTCCATGTAGTTTTTCTTAATATTCTTTGAATAGAAAGAAAATAAACAACAATATAGTAATAATCAAATGCCTCGTTTTTTCTGTTTATAAAATTGAAAAGATGAAAATTATCAAACGTTTGATATATAAAATTTAAATCATATAGATATCTTGAAAAATCAAGAAATGGATAGCATTTTTCTTTCGCGTAAATGCTTGTGAATAAGCACAAAGCTGTCATATTTACACTTTATTAGAACTACAGAGAAAATTTCAGGTGTTCAGGTCCCCTCTCTGTAAGTAAATAATCAAATAAGTACAAGAAAAAGATTCAAATGTGAAAAACGCATTTATACACATGTATATACAATAACTAACAGTTTTCTTTTCATTCACAGTGGTATAAGGGTGAATGCTGGTTTGCACGCTCTAACTTGGACTCAGTTAATATTGGTTTTTGTTACGCTACTGCTACAATATGAATTAAATTGCAGTTTTTCACATAGATTATAACATAATAATTTAAATTTTTCCTATTCTTTGCTTATGTAGATTATATCTCAACGAGTAGATTAGCGTCAATGAGACTGGAACGAAATCCCTAACTATCTACTAAACGTGAAAATCCCTATCGGATTCAAAATCGATCCTCACTTATTTCCTTCCCTCTTTCTTTTATTTTCTTTGTCCCCATGCATGCATGCAGCGTGAGTCAAATCCGATTGTAATGGAAAGATTAAGGTCGGCTACATACCCATGTGTGCTAATGACTTTGGGAGTAAAATATAGTGCAGTATTCAAGATGGCAAAAAAAATCTTAATTTGTGACATCTGACAAATAACTATTGAATTGTTTCAAAGTTTATTTCATTATCTTTATATCAAATAAATTCTTTATATTAATAATCATCAGGTATTTTAAAAGATTTATTGTGGATATTTTTCCTACCTCAGATGGAGCTGCTTCCGAGAAAAATCGATTGGAAGAAAAACAGCGAGAAGCCAGGAAACATCGAAAGAGGAAAAGAGAAAACTGGACATCTATGTAAGTATTCCGTTCATTATTTTATAATATAATTGCTAAATTAATCAAACATATTGTTTTAGGTGGTTTGAACTCGGTCAACATCCCGACACTCAAGAGGAGATCTGGCTTTTCAAAGGCGATTACTGGCAGAGGAACTTTGTCGATTGTCCAGATATCTTTTGACTAACCAGTTGCCGTTTTTGGCTACAGTTTTCTAGAAATGAAAACCGTTTCTCTTATTTTCGGATTCGTTCGTAGACATTTTGAACATGTGACTGTCCAAACAATTTTAATTTATTTGCAAAAAAGAAACATGAGATATTTACACATTATAATTTCAATTTATCATATATTAATATATGTCAAGTAGAAGTATCGTTCGTCTTGTTGTCAAGACTCCATTCGTTCAAAAAACCCTTAGAAATGAATATTCGTATTATCGGCCGTTAGAATTGATTATTTGTCAGTCACTTCAACAATTAGGCAGAGTGAAGATCAAAAAGAAACGCATGTCCCAGAAAATTCATTTTGTATGAATTGTTACAATTTGGAATGAAAGTGTTTTTTTTTCTTCTGGCAAAATATTCTTTACATTTGGTAAGTCAAATATTAATTAATAGTAACGGTTATGGATACGAAGAAAATATATTTTTTTTCTCTGAAGGGGTTGATAGCGATAACGAACATCTTCGGAGTTTTGAGACAACAACTCGAGCGAGCTTCTTATGCTTCCCTCTGGAAACACAGACAGGATTTCGACTTAGATCAAGTACAAACCATTTCTAGAATCAAGGTTTTTATAAACAGAACTAAATCACCAACCTTTTGGGATAAAAGTAATCCTTTTGTAATTTTAATATGGCTTTTACAATACCAGCACATAAGTAATTTCCATTAAAACCGAACAGATCCCAGATTAGTTTATCACCAGAAAATTTTCGCTCAACTAACATTACATTTATTAAGAAACCTATTCGAAAAAAAACCCTCTTCCGAGAACTAACCTCGAGATAATCGTGTTAGCTTTGCAGGGACCACATCAGGGATCAATCTTGATACGTAATCAAAAATGCATTTTGGGAGAAGCTATCGCTCCTCTTATTTTTTGTAGAGCCCAAGCACTTTATTGTTTAGAAAATTGAGTATGATCTACGAAGACGAGAAGTATAATTTAAATGATGGGGTCAAGCGAAATAGAAGTGTCTTCCAATCAAGCCAAGCAATAAAGTTTACTGCAAAAAATCAACAGACAAAGTATCTTTACAAATGAGAAGACTGAAGGGTCTCTGAGACAAATTAGAAACCAATAGCCCATTTTACAAATATCAGCATAATAACCTGATATAAATTAGTCCTCCATACCTATCTAGCAACATTTACGTAATAAAATGTCTCAAAGCTCAACCGAAGTCAACTTGTTACGCTTCCCCAATGTATGGTTATTTCTATCGCCCGAAACGAGTGTATGAAGAATCCAGCAATAAGGGAGAAAGCTGTAAATAAGCTATCGTCGTGATTCCACATATCATTGTTTGTATATAAGTTGTGCAAATAAAAACGTAGTTACGTTTTTAGCTTATTTTCATTCTATTTACCTCAATTACAATCAAACAGTATTGAGTTTAAGTTATAAAATTGCAATGGGCAGAAATTTTTCACATATAGAACAAATAAAGTTTCAGAATTGCCATTGATTCCAAATACCTACTTTAAATAAAAGTATCCTATATAAAAACATAAATGGTAATAATAAATAGCATTGTATATTGCTTTCTCGTTACCCTCTCCTAATATGATCAATCGAATGAGAATCAGAAGTTTAAAAAACAAATTTCAAGTAATCACTTTGCCCAAGAAGTGTCATGTAATTGATATTGTTGTAAACCCAATTTAGTTTATGATATCTCACAACTAGGGATGTCATCACTAATCGTGGAGAAAAGAAGTGATCGGCCACCCTTCTACAAGAATGGTATTATGTAAACTTATTAGCGTCTAATAAATCGTTATTATTCTATATATTAAAAAAATCAGGTCCAGTAATTGGTGGATGACTTTGAGGATATTAAAGAATATCATTTCAAATATAATGTAATATCTTAGAAAAATAATTCTAGTATATTTTAAATAATTAAAAAAAACGCTTTCATTATTCATGTTGTTCGAAATTAGGAATGTGGGACGATGGGGCGGCCTCACTCATCATAACTCGTACATAATTACAGTGCATTTACACACACACAATTAAATTCGAAATTTGATTATGTTTTTAGGATTTCGGAGTGGGGTTGGGGCCACGCCTATAAAACATCATTAATATGCATTGTCATTGGACATAAGTATGTTTTCAAAGTTAGTCTATCTATCTTAATTTGAAGTGAATGAAATTTGAGGAAAATACAATGCAATGTAAATAAAAGCGTTTAATAAAAAGTGTGTAATATGCAGAATCTGTTCTGTACATGATTATGTACAGAATTTGCACGATATCAACATATGTTACATTGCAAAATATTAATTTCAAATCAGGATTAAAATTAAATAATGGTGACACATCGGCAGGCACCTCGGCCACCCTCCAATGTGCTGACGGCCGGCTAGCCGAGGCGGTTTAGGCATCATCCTACCACTCTGGAGACCCAGGTTCGATTTCATTCAGCAAGTAACTCCAAGAAGTTTTTGGAGTGGTCCATCCCGGATATATCGGGCTTGGAACCTCACCATTCGGCCGTCCCCTCTGTAGGCCTGGCCGAACCCACGTCGGATATGGAAAAAAGCTCCTCTTAGTGCCCTTAGAGCAGAAAAAATTTAAAATGGAAAAAAAAAGAAAATAGACCTTGATGTAACTTACCTGTAGACAATATAATAATTTTCATGCCTCGTGATAAGTTCCTTTTTCACCTAAATCGCCGATACAACAACCTTCCACTTACGAGTTAGATTTCGTTGCTTCTTTTCTTGGATTCTGTGGTTGTATATGTAACCAAACACACCAAAAATAAAACGAAATAAACACTGAAAACACCCGCGTGTAACGCAGCAATGCTTTCATACGTAGAGCGACAGACGACTTGAGGTGCATAACAAATGTCTTTATGCATTTTTTCTCAGCGCACATAGTTTGAACATAGAAGCATCGTTCGAACTATGGACGAACTTCGGGTCGAATTTCTTTCTGATTTAGCGATCAAACTCTGGAACGTTAGAAGTTACAGTCGTTTGAAGTACGAGGTACTGTACCACTGTATATACTCGAAAGTAATGTTTTTTTCCAAATTTATCTACATTGAAAATACAATACAGTAAAGACTTGATTATCCGTTAGTTTTTTAACGGTCAGAGTGCTAAATTCAGTTTCGCGGAGTAGTGTTGCTGTATTTTTTCCTTTTTATTATTACCATAATTGTACAGTACTGTATTTTACTGAATTTTATGTTAGCCTCTATTTCTGTACTATATGCTAGTTAAGGTACTATACCACATAAGTACTGCATTGAATAGTAACTAAACGGTTGATCGTACAGTACTGTAAGAATGGGATTGTGTATTAATTACGGAACATAAATTAATTTTTCTGTACTTGTACTGGCTGATTTCTTATTAGGCCCACTCGGCCTTGGGGCACAAGAATTTAGATGGTAGTAAAAATTCAAAATAATAATAATGAAAATAAAATAATGAAAAAATAATTTTATATAGAAACAATTCATAAAGGAACGAGCAATTTTTGAGAGTGGTCTATCCTGGCTACGAACCTCACTAGTCCCCTCTGTAGGCCTGGCCGAATCCATACCAGATATGGAAAAAAGTAACCTTAGGGCTGCCGAGCTGCAATTTTTAATCATATTTTTAATTTATTTAATTTAAAACATATGCTCTCCACCTCAAATTAATAGTGGCTTGCCCCTGTACAACATACTTTTCCTTTAACAATAGAGTCGTGCCGGTCATCTATGTAACACCTTTCAGGGGAAAATTTTTCAATTGAAATAACGTGATTTTCTCCCAAACCGAAAGTTATTACATAGTTAATTGAGGCCTCCTGCCTCTAGGGAGGGTTTCCATATCTGGTTTCGTCTTTCATATATCTAACTCCGTTCTCGAGATTAAGGAAAGACAGACTGACAACGGCGACAGTGGGAAATTTATAGTTCTACAATTGTTTTATTTTAATTTTTTTTTAATTGTAGCCCAATTAGTGCAATTTGAAAACTTAAACAGTGATAAAATAAGACATATCAGTTAAGAAGTATTAATGTACGAATATATTTTTCATGAACACAGTGATAATACCAATAACGGTTTTCAATAGCAGTGCCCTCTGCACTTTCGGTATTTAAAAATTCTGTAAAAATACAATTTGCGGATTAGGATATGGATGCGCCATTTCGGCAAATTTGCTAACTCGCTTTCCTATCGCTCCGAGAGAGTGCCGAGTTGACGTTCAATGTGGCAAAGAAAGGAAATGTTTGTTGTTACGATGTTTTTTGTAAAAATTATTTTAAAAACGCCCCATTTATCATTTTTTACGTTTCCAAAGATTTATAAAGTATTCGATTTGTTTAATTAGAAATATGAATGAAAAATTAAGATGGAATTTACGCGAAAAAATGATCTGAACCTAAAATTATGACTTGTATTTACAGACGAACCATTGAGTTCGTCTGTAAATACAAGTCAAATCATCTGAAATATTTTAATCTGTTTATGTTATTTTATTAAAATAAATAATATTGTGGTCAATTAAAATAAAAAATAAAAACCTCAAATAAAAATAATTAAATTATTTAATCGTGTATTAAAGTGTAGTAATATACATATTTGAATTTATATTCATATCCAAAAATTTTTTTAATTTTCTATAACTAATATTAAAATTTATGAATAAAATAAAATTTGGTTGTTTTAAAAAGAATTTTGAAATTTTATTTTATTTTTTTTATAAATTATATAAATCTACTTAAAACATAATACATATTTGTATACAGTATAAATAAAGCTACAATTTACCAATATATTAAAAAAGTACACTTCAGTAATAATTTACTCCTTTAAGCTGGCAATATGCAATACATTTAGTTTTTCCTGAAGGCGTTGGAAATTTAGTGTAATGCTGTTCTTTGGAAGTGTCGCATCCGCATCTTAATCCGTGATACAATTATTGCAGAATTTAAATTATAAAATAAAATCATTCGTGCAAAAATGACACTATTATTTGAGGCATTTGCATATTTGTGAGTCTTTCTCACAAATATGCAGAATTTCTAAATATATCACTACTGGTAAGGGAAATTCTATTGTTCATCTATTCGAGTGGTTTTTAACCAGGGGTCCATAGAAAGTTTTCAAGGATTCATGGGTTTGAAAGGGTAAAAATCAACTTAATTTGTCAACTAAAATCACATTTCATGCATAGCATATGCCAGACATGGGCAAATGCAGCTCTTTTTGAGTTACATGCGACTCTTGCTGAAAGTGTTTATTTCTGCTTTTTATTATTATTTTTACAATTTTATTTCCACAATTTTGTGAAAATATGTTTATTAAAAAATTCAATATTTGTTTTATTTTATATTTATATTATATAATAAAACTACGATACAGAACTGCGGTACGAAATAAAAAAAAGTACAGAACTGCGTCTCTCCCATGCATTTTGCAAAACCTGCATTTCGGCTCCCACTAAACTCTTGCTTGCCCATCCCTGGCATATGCCCTTCATTTGAAGTATGAATCAGTATGTGCTAAATGCCCAAAGCAAACATGTTTATTTCTGAGATAAAAAGTTTTAAAGAAAGCTCCAGCAAGAGTTGCTCTGTATCATGAAGTAACATAGTTTCTCCTGCTATCTGATCCAGTTATCACAAGGTGGGTAACATGGATAAGAGCTGGTATTTTCTATTTTGAAAATTTTGAGAAAATCAAAGAATTTGTTCTGTATAAAAGATTTTAATTCTGCTGCAATTGGTCAAATTAAGAACTTACTTTTGGACGCTAGGATTCGAACAGAACTGTCTGCTGTATATTCATGCAAATTCATTGTTAATGCATCAGCGAATTAGAAAAGAAACATTTTAAAAAAGAAAAGCAGTGAAACCTGAGGCCGTATTCTGGTCACTGTCTCTGGTCTCTCGTCTCTCGCAAGCCGGTTCGCTAATCCAAATGATTAGCCAATCATTTGGATTAGCCAATCAGCGACCGGCTTGTGGGAGACGAGAGACCAGAGACGGTGATCAGAATACAGCCCCTGTTTTCTTCAGTAAGAGATAAGTTAGATGAATTTGCCAACAAAAACTTTATAATAGTCTTGCTAAGAATCCAAACTTAAAGAAGAGCGTTTCATGCAATGACTAATAATTTCGAGACCGAGTAATGCCGCTAACATCTGTGGATTTTGATTTTTTCGGTTTTTTCTGCATACAAAGATATTATTTCATGTAAACGCAGAACATTTACATTTGAAAATTTGGAAATGATTACCATTATCTGAATTAATTCATTTATTTTAACAAATGATAGTCATTCAAGCGACAATGATATGTGTAGGGTAAAAACATATGACCTATAAAAATATACTGTATCCTGTAATTTAAATAAACATTTTCACTCAAGATAGATGCCTAACATGATTTTTGGCACCACTTCTTTACACCATTTTTGTTTTTTAGCAGCCTTAAATCTTATCCTTATTAATAAGGTACCGCCTTTCCATCAGCAGTTTTTTTTTCTTTAAATCTTACATTAGGTGAACCATGTCATTTGCAATCCAACTGGAGAACATTTTAGAATCGGTAAAAATGGAGTCTACAGTTGGTTGCACTTCGGTTATTTTTTAACATTTATTTATTGATTGATCTGAAAGTTGATAATATTATATTGACGTGTTAATAAAACTGTAGAAACAATCTTTGAATAGAACAACTAAATATTAAAAATAAGCGTGGCAATTGCATGTTACACATGCAATTGTCTTTTATGATAATTGCCGCTCAGCTTTTAGGAGCGGTCGCGCGGTATATTACATGCAAAAACAATAGTTTTGCGCTGTCATGTCAAAAGCCTTTTGGCGAGCGCTCGCCAACAATGCACCTGCACCATAAACCGAAATCAAAGGATACCGAAAGCACTTAGG